CTTAGAACAAATTGGCTTGATGGTTTATAAGTTATATCTTCCATCCTCCCCTTATATGCATCTTTTTTTCACGTCTCATTACTTAAACCTCACATGAGGATCACCAAATTTCATTGCAATTTGCTATTGCATGATGCTTTTGTCTTAATCACCGAGTTTTCCATTTTCAATCCATCCACAGTCATGGCAAGTCATTTGCAATGACTATTTTTCATACAATGGAATGACCTACCTTTAGAAATTTTCACATGGATTAATGAAGAACTTCACTCTGCATATCCTAATTTTGATGTTGAGGGCAAGATCACTTTCAAAACTATAGGATGGAATTGATACGACTATGAGAATTGCAAACAAAAATAGAGGTGTTGCGCTGCTATAGACATCCACAACATGAACACTAGAGGCAACCCATATGACGGGAAGATTTCCCTGTGAATAGGAAGTATCCATAGGGGATATCAGGTTTTATTTCATTTTAGCGCTGCTATCACTTTCTTGAATTATTTTTGTAAGTGGTCACATGTCATTAATTGATTCCCCAAGTTTGTAAAGCTACTTAGAAGAGAGGGAACTTTTCAATCCCAATTTCATTCATTGATGAGATTGTATCATGGGAAAACCAATATAATTGGCTTGAAGTCGTTCTTATATGAATCAATGTAATATCTTAAACCTTCTTCCATATTTAATTATCTTCTACTTTTTGTATTTCCTCTCTAGAAATTGCATATGAAAACTCCAGCTTCCTTTAATATTTCTTAAGCTCATGCTGTATTCTCAATACCTCTAAACTATCATCATTTAGTTTTTGATACGTAATGACTTAAGAGTATGCCTGATTTGAATATTTCAATATAAGGGTGCAGTAAATTATGTTCATGACATGGAATTTAGGGAGTTATGAGCAATTCATAAGATTTTATTCAACATATTTTATGTAACTATTTACTTGTTAAGGGATAAATATGCCCTTCTCTGTTTAGGGTTCCTTTTTGAACACTTATTTTAGGCTCATTATTTGCTAACTTATATTGTGTAATATGTATTATCATTTTTTTTTGTTTTACATGTTCATATTGATATGATGAGACCTTTAATTAGCTTTATCATGTCAATTTCTTATGATATTTATGTGCACTGCATTAATTAATGTGAAATAATTCTTGCTCATACAAATTAAAAAAAAAAATCTTGCTCATAAAAATCAGAGACTCATTTGATATGTAGCCAACTTTAAGCATATGGATAATTGAACCTTTGTTATATACTATGATCATTCTTTAGAACTCATGGAATTGATTCTTACATGCATGATGGATATAAATATAATTAATACATTTTATTAATAGATTGGTGATAGGTCCACAGAATGAAACACTTTGACCGTCATTGAATTCTTCTTGGTTGAAAATCTTCATTTTGTTTTGTGTCTTGATAGATCTATAGATATATAAATATAAAATGTTTTAAGCAAATGATAATAAATCATATCTAGATGTATAAATATGGTATGGATGCAAGTAAGGTTTTAGCATTTGAATGTATTGATTATTATTTATCTATTTTTTAACTCTGTTATATAATATGCAACATTAAACTATTTGCGTGTTTGATAATATTGTCTTTTTAAGTTATAGACTATTTTTGTGCGATATTTATAATTGTTAAAATATAATAATCATGCCTGTTTTTTATTTTATTTATACTTTATTGTTTATATTTTAGCTAATAGGTTTCATTTGCAGAGTTCTTTTTTGTGCATTATTTTAAGTAGAGTCTTATCTTCAAGAATAATAGGTTGCGTTTGTTACCCCCACTAGTCCAACTCATAAAAATTATTTTAATATAACCTTATAATCTCACCTCCTAAGACCCTTAATCATTCGTCTCACAAATAGAAGCCGCAGTACAAGTTGAAAGCCTTTGTTCTTTCCCAATCAGCTGCATTACACAAAACAGTCACCCATCACTCCTCTCTTCCCCCTCGTAAGACGGTTCCACCCCTGAGTGAGATTGATCTAACTTGTGACAATATCGTTACTCGTGTGCCACACGTACTCGGCGTAGCAGTGATGGTTTTAGTTCTTGTTTTGTGCACCAAAATACACGATGGTCTTGCCTTTGAGTTGGTCAACAAAAATCTCATCTTTAACATAACAATATCACTTCTCTTTCCAATTTTTTATTCTAGTTTGTTTTTGTATTCAATTTCTCTCTGAGATTGGAATTTTGCGACTTTTTGGGCCAAAAAAAGGGCGACTGTTGAGGGATATATATGATATTCATTATTTTTTGTTTCTTATGTTGTTTTCGAATGTCTGCTCTTATTTTGTTTTGAAGATAGAGAAGACATTTTATTAAGCATTAGTTGTGGCAAAGGCCCTTTTTTATGTTCTTCTCCTTAGGGGCTGTTTAGCAACGACTTTAAGGGTTTGTTTGGTTCAAGGTAAGATTTAGTTTAGATAAGATTTAGTAAGTCCTGTAATTTCAAATTTATCAAATCTTGAGGGGCTTAAATCTGGAAAACTATTTGGTATGTTAGTAAATAAATTATGATAAATCTAGAGAAACTGCTTGACAACTTTAGTAGGATTTTGGTGGTTAGAAGTCTTAAAAGTATGTCTTTCAAAAACATAAATCCTACATTTCATAAGCATGTCTCATAAACTATTATATGATTTCCAAACGGCAATATAATTATTTTATATAATTATGTTTGATTAAATTTTTTTTATGTATAATTATACTAATCAATATTTAAATATTTATTAAATTAATTATTTATTAATAATAATTTATTAAACTAATTATGCTAAGTAATAGTTGTGCATCCATTAATTAATAACTAATTAGTTATTTGTTAAATTAATTAATAATTATTAAAATCTATTAAAATGATTAAATTTAATATATAATTTATTTTGCTAATTAATGATTAAATAAATATATAACTTTATATAATTATGATTAATTTGATAACATATTAATTGATAATTAGTTATTAAATAATTAAAAAAATTAGGTAAAATTAAATTGAAGCCACAAAACCATCTCCCATTCCCTCTCTTGCTCGAAACTCTTGTTGATGTCCCTCCCTCTCAAGGTTTCGCTCAAAATCCTTTTAACCTTGCAAGAAATCTACATATAAGAATAATTTTACTTTTGCATGAAATAATAAACTTGCAGGTTATATTCCACCCAATCAAAGTTATTGTAGAGAGAGACATTTAATATTGTGAAATTATTTGAATCAACAAAAGATAAATGGAAAGATAAAGGAGTTAATTTAATATGTGATAACTAGGCTGATCCATAAGGAAGGCCATTTATCTATTTTATGATAGTATCAAAAAGTTCTCCATTGTTTATTAAAGCTGTAAATTAAGAGGGATGATATAAAGATAAATTCTTCATTTCCAATTTTATTAAAGATGTGATAGTAATGTTTAGTCCTTCAAATATTGTTTAAGTAATTACTGATAATGCTCCAGTTTGTAGGGCGGTTGATCTGCTTGTTGAGCAAATTTATCCATGTATTTTTTTGGACACTTTGCATTGTTCATTTCTTTAATCGCCTTAACTAATAGGTGCAACAAAAAATACTGAAGCAAATGAGATCACATACAATGAATGTCATTGGATCACAATGATTGTTCGAGATGCTATTTTGATAAAAAAATTATAATGAATTATTCCATGTGGTTTTCTATATTCAATGATTTCTCCGATTTGAATATGATTATTGTTGCTGAAACTAGATTTGCTTTGCTTATTGTGATGTTAAGAGATTCAAACAAATTAAAAATACACTTCAACTAATGGTGGTATTAGTGAAAGAAGATCATGTTATTGCAAGGATGATGTGGGAAAGATAAGATATGTGAATGAGAAAATACTTATGATTTATGGCGGGATAAAATTGAATATATTCAAAATTTTATTGATCTTATTTATCACATGCGCTGAGCTATAGATACAAATATGCCACAGTTGTATTTGATTTTTGAGGTGTCAAATATAATGTTATGAAAAGTGAAAGAAGAAATATTTAATTATGAAAGGAAGAGAATGATGAAGACTCAAGTATCTAGAGTATTGTTCGTAAAATTCTGGAAGATAGGTGGAGCAAAAGCAATACATTTGCATTGCTAAACTCATTATTTAAATTCAAGATAAATTTTATATTACCGCTTTCTCGTTACTTTTATTCATAAATTTTTAATCACCTAATTCTATTTTTTATTTTTTTATTTTTTTACATTCTTAGAAGATATTCAAGAAATGACTTGAGGAGAATCCTCAAATTTTTTCCCCTCAAAGAGATTTGGAAATTTCAAATATAAGAAAGTTTTGTTTAAAGTGTTATTTTCCCAATGATGAGGAGAGATGACAGATAAATGTGGAGTTAGCTACGTTCTTTGGATATTTAGATGAATTTGGTGATCAAGGGTCCTTAGTGATAGGTGAAAGATGGATCCAAAGATATGGTGGTAGTCTACCAAATAATCCCTAAAGTTGGATTTAACTTAAATTATGCCAAATGGCCAGAATGATAACATTTAATCCCAGATTTAGTAAATTTGATTTTCCTACCGTTTTCCCTTAAATCTTAGATTTAATAAATCTAGGTGTTTGACATATTTACATGATTTAATAAAAAAAAACATAGGAAGAGGGAGGACGACTAGAGAAATACACGCCTCACAAGGGTTTATAAGTTATTTAATTCTTAGATGAGTTATAAGTTATTTAATCCTAGTACTCCTAAGCTTATAAGTTATTTAATTGATTTGATAGTCATTTATCCTTAGATGAGTTATTGCATTATTTCAGTTTTTTTTTATTTTGTTGGATAGTTTAATAAATGCTATTGGATCTAGATGCTCTAATTTTTATTTTTGATGAATAATTATTATTAAAAAAAATCATATTGATTGAATTTATAGAAATTTATCTACTCAAGCTATTCTATCATTTCACTGTTATTTTTATTTCAGGCCCAATTGGCGTGATGTGATTCTCTTTACTCCATGTTCATAATGGCAATCAGATGTTTAGTCTTGCTACTGATAATGACAGGAGCCTTTTCACAATCTCTGGATTTGAAGAAATTTTTGAGTAGTTATCGTGGTATGGTCCTCCATTTTATATTCCTTAATTTAGTAGTTTGGTGAGGCAATTATTGCTTATCGGGTATTGGATTAATATCACGGGCTAGTTTGAAAGTTGATTTTTTTAAATTGTGTTGGTTTTGTATTTTTTTTAACTTAGCTTAAAGCTTATCGAACTTTTTTCTGAAACTATTAGCCATGTTCTTTTAAATTTTTTTATATATTAGAATGGATTTCTACGGTCAGTCAAACATGAGAACTTCATGCAATTTTAGCTCTAGAAATATGCACACACAATCCTTAGAGTGGAAAAATTAATGTTGAAAATTTTCCTTATACTTTGAAGCAATATGAATGCCAAATACTCCAAGCGCTAGGCACCGGCAATGACATTTACCTAAGTTAAAAGGAGAACTCATAAAAAATAATTATATTGGTTATTTATTTGTTATAATTATCATAAATTCCTTGGAAAAGAATAAAATACTAATCATCCTATTAAATTATTTTGAAAAATAATTGAGATATTAAGTTTCATTACATTCCAAGTTCAATAATCTTGCTAAATTGATTTTTATGAGCAAACATGGTTAAACAATCTCTACTTCTGACATGTTAGCCTAGGGATAATCTAATCCTCACACTAAGGCTAATAATGTGTGAAGTTCAAATGATTTTGGCTGATTTAAAAATAAATTTTTTATTCCAGCTCCACTCAACAAGCTGACTTAGTTGAAATAACCAGAGTTTATCTAAATTTGAATTTAATTTTTACTTAAACCGTATAAATATACATATTATATACAATTCCATGTATTCTCATTTTGAGTTAACTTGATCGACATTCAACCAGTTTGAGCCAAAATTTCAAGCATGGAAAGGAAGTAAAATAAATTTGAATCAAATTATTTGATTGATTTTTGTGTTTCGATTTTATTAGAGATCCATATTCATTATTATCAACTCCACATTTTCATCATCCATGCTCTCTTCTAAATTTTTAGATTGAAATTTCTTTATCTCTTCCTTCTTTCTGTTGAATTTATCCTCTCATATTCATTAACTACTTCTCTTGAACTTTGGTAATTATGCGTAAAGTTGATCAATTGTTTCCTAGGGCACCTGCTTGTTTGTCCAACACTTGATGCTTTTCTTACATTATTTTATTTTCATGTTATCATCATGAGGTATTAGATCCCATGCTTTAAGATAAGACACCTATCAAGTGTTGCCTCATTAATGATGCCATCCTAGGAGCACGAGGTGATATGTGTTCTTAATATGTTGCCTGGGTGGCGAGCCTATTGTTTAACCCAATTCTAGGTCTAAGATAATTTATGGTCTTGTTAACCTGATTTTGGCTCAATTTAGCATGTTCGGATTGTTGTTCATTACTGCTCGACTCAAGGTTTAATTTTGGGCCTTGATTATTTAAAAATATAAAATCCGAGCAAATCTAATGAACAATTAATTTTTGCAATTTAGTTAAAAAAATGACTAAGTCTTTAATCTCTAAGGGATGTACTTGTTAATGTCTAAGGTGTGGCTACTATTGATGAAGTGTTACTCGAACCATAACTTTTTTTGTCCTCGAGTAAAAAATTTCTGCCTGCAATGCAAAGATACTCCTATACTTATTGGCAAAACTGCTGAAAAATAAGAAGCAAATGTTGGTTGGTAAATACCTTATCTGATTAAGCAAAATTTTTGACATGGGAATTACTTTATGAGGAAATTTAAAAGAATAAACTAGTGCCCAATTTGGTTTGGTGTGGATGAATTTTGAGACTGGACAAACTCAGAATAATGAGACAACCCATAAACTAGATTCACTGTGTCATATAGAAATTGTCGTTGCTCAAACCAATTGAGATGGGCTAAAATGGCCTTAAACCAACCAAATTTATTGGTTTGAAGTGAGTTGATTTGCCTAGTCTGACCTAGCTACTTCTCCCTCTTATGAAACCATAAGCCACACATGCGGAATGAATCTTGATTTGGTGGCAACAGAGTTTTTGTTGCTAGTAGAAATTGGGTTTGCCCACTGTGAGTGCCTACGGTCTCTTTTTGCAGTAGCAAGGTGCCTTTTTCTACATATGTCATTCATGAAGATCCAAACTTTTTGAGACCACAATCCCTTTGAAACTTCATCATTTTTTAGTAATATTTTGCTTTTGATACATTCAGTCAAGCTGCGTGAACGTTTTCAAATTGTTCACTTAAATTCCATCATTAAAACTTTTATCCATCACCACTTTTGCACTTGCGACATTGCATAGGATGTGGTATATTCATAACATCAAATTGAGATACATTCAATGTTGTCTACCAGTGGCCCATCGTTTTCTCTCAAGCAGCCCTTACATTCCCAAGGATAGCCATTATTCAACTGAAATTTGATGAAATGATAATGTTATATCCATAATCTCTTAAGAATACTTTTTTGGAATAGTATATTAATTACTAAACAACTTATCATAATGTTAAATCCCAAACTGTCTTAGAGTAGAAACTCTTCGAGAGATAGAGTCCAAAAGAAAAGTGAGAAAACACAACAATATTAATTTCAAAGAAACGAATGTGTAATCTCTTATTCATAAAATAGCCTCTTTTTATAATCATAGGTGGCTTAGGTTTACAATTACATGATTATTCTCCTCTCATATGTTAGAGACTATTTCTTGTCTTTTTCCTATTCTCGAATGGTTACTATAACTTAATCTCTAATAGAGATAACTGAATGGATGTAACTTTCATGAGCAGTTTTGACCAGTGGATATAATGCATAGTAAGACCAGATTTTTTTGTTGTAACTATCGGTCGACTAAGTCTAACCGATTTTGTCGGTCGGCTGATGTTGTTGCTCGGCCAATTCCACTGACCATTTATGTTCGATTGGATTATCGATCATTTGGATGAGTATGCTGAGTTGGCCGACCGCTTGATGATCCTCTGTGTGGACTTTCGATCGATAATAGTCGTATTTCGGACGCCTTGCTCCCTTTAAGATTCATGTTGACACATTTCTTGAATACATATTAATTCTCCGATTTTCTTGCACTTGCTAACTACAATAAGGACAAGAAAATAATTAATTAAATTTCATCAAAGCATGTTGATTACTTTCAAGATTTTTGTGTCCATAAAATCTATATAAATAGGGTCAGTTGTGTCTTCCCTCCTCACTTTGATATTGGGTTTCAAATGTCATCATGTTTGACACGAGAGCTTTGGATCATTTTGATGACGATGCACTCCTAATGGCGCTCGAAGAATCCCAGCTTCTACGTCAGCCTCTTCCTCTTCTTGTGAGCAAAAAAAAAAACTGAGAAGATGGTGGTTGTTAGGAAGAAACAATGCAAGGAACATGCAATCGATTTGAACGATCAAGTTGTATCTTCCGCTTGCCCCGAAGCCGATTAATTAGAAAAAGTATCTAGAGTGGAGAAAGGTCAAGGGCTTCCAACTCCTCCCGCGGATTCTGCTCTGATCATTGAGGAAGTGTTTCCACAGGTTGATCCGATAAGCTAGGAGGTAATTTACGATGTTGCCGCTTGTGCCAAGTTGTAGTGTTTCCATAAGGTTGATCCGATAACCTCGTGTTTTGGAGCAACCTTATGGAAACACTTCGGATCCGATAAGCTAGGAGGTAATTTAAGATGGATCCAAAACACAACTTGCTCCAAAAGAATTTTGGGTGTGAAGCTTCGAGCTTTTAGGGGTTCTGATTGGGTAACAAGCAGGTTTGGAGACGATTTGGTATTCTGCCGAGACTGATTCCGATGTGATCTGAGGCTCCCTCTTTGTACTGAGCTAAGGGTGTTTTCAATTGATACAGAGTAATTCTTGCTCAAGTTGTGCCAAACTTGATCTCGCAATCTTGACGTTTGTCGTCTTTTGCCACCATTCGGGCATACCGTGGTCGATTGAATTGTTTTACTACTATTTTTTGTTCAAGGATGGTTTTTCCCAATTCTCCGCCGGTAAAGGACACCAACTTTTGGGATTGGAGAACAAAATAAAGGAATGGAGAAAGCAGTCTTTGGTCAGATCTTGTTCTAGCGGCTGGGGAATCAGCGTCATCCTCCAGGATGTGCCAGTGAGCAGAACCAAGACGCTTTTGAAGCATCTGATTGTTGACGAGAGAAAATCGAGAGGCAGCTTTTGTCCATTCCTCAGTACATTAACCAGAAAATTGTGAATCTAATCGTTCGATCAAATAAGTTTTGCCGGTTGACAGAGGATCAATGGATGACCTCGGATGTCAAAGAGACTATCCATGTGAAGGAAGCGGAGGAGAAAGCCTCCAAGAGAAAACCGAGAGGTAAGCTTGCCCTTTTCCAAGAGGGGGCAAATCAATGAGAAATCGGGGAAGGTGGTTGTAGCTGGCACAGATACTACAGGTGCAAACTTTATTTTCTCTAAAACTTGAACGATTGTTGTGATATAAAATGTGTCAACTGGGGAAACCACTACTGTTGCACGAGACCCTCAAAATTTTCTAACGGATGCAGTTGAGGCAATCTGAACGTCATCTATGCTGAGATTGAGTGCTTCTAAAGGCGAGGCTTCTTGAAATGAAGTGGGAAAATCAAACGTTCAGTCACTGACCAACACATATCCATCCTCGTCGCAATCGACCGATCTTCATCCTCCTGACTCCTCATATCTTGATGTGTCTGCAATGGCTGAAGCCAACCACCACTCTCTTATTGACCTATCCGAGCTTTCGTCCGTGAATAAAACTAAACCTGCTCCAAAGTTAGTTCCTCTTCCTCTTGCCAACAAAAAATCACGTCGCTCTGGTGAAGAGAAAAAAAAGGAAAAGCTCCATTGGAAGTTTATGATTCTCCACCTCCTTTGAAAAGAAAATGTGTGCCTTTTGATCGGCATTTGACACACGATGGGGCTGAAAAATTTTTTATCAGTACCGATCATCCGTATTTCATGGTCGACTCAACAAATGACTGGTTCCATAATACTCCAGAGGTCGATAATGTTTCCGTGCTGCTCTATGAA